AAAAAAAAAAAAATATATATATATATATATATATATATATAATACATTATAACCGCTTTTTAATTGTTTAAGGGCTCTCTAATTTATTTATTTATTTTTGTAAAAATAAATAAACTACAAAAAAACATTTTAAACTTTGAATCATGTACAGTTGACAGTAGGTTTGTTACCAAACCAATCAGTATTATGATTTTAGTTTTGATTTTGGAATTTATGGATTTTGGATATTGACATGTGAGGGTAACTGACATTTTTCCACATTTCATTTTAAATATTTGAAAATTTTATTGTGAAAAATTCTCAAAATATTGAAAAAAAAAAAAAACAGTGGAAAACTCTTATTACCCTCACATGTCAATATCCAGAATTATCACATTAATCAAAGCTATCATCAGATTGGATAAGTTTTTCAAGATTTCAAGTAGTCAAAAGTTTCTCTAACAGAGCAATCACTCATTAACATAAAGTTTATGTCTGTACGGAAGTGCTATGAAACAAAAAACCAATGCTACTGCAAAATTTTTTAACAAAATGTGAAACTCCTGGAGGCTGATACTGAATCACAATTTCAATGTGCAGGGTTCAAGAGTGGGTAATACGAAAAACAGGTCCATTTACGGAGGACAAATGTTTATTATATTGTTTATGCTGTTCTACAACATGTGATGCCCTTTCAGCATCTGAGTGGGAAAAATCTTAATGTCATATTTGTTACAGAAGCTGTCCAGTGTATTTGATTTGCAAACGTTCCCCTCCCTATCACTGAATTACAGCATTACAGAGAGCTCTCAACTCCATTGTGCTGTGGCTTTCAACGGAGAAATCCACCTCATAAGAAATATTAAACACCAACCAGAACAGACAGTGCAGCTACATCCTCATGTCAAGATTAAGGTAATCTCATCATTAAATATAATATGATCTATTCTGTTATGCTCAGTGTCATGCAGAAGAAAAGACGCCTCCTCACTCTGTCTTTCACGTTTGATAGAGGAAACAATTACGAGTTACACATACAGTAGGCACAGAACAGAGAGGCAATGGGATAAAAATGCTTTCAGCATCTGAGTGGAATTAGGACTCCCACAGAGTGGTAGAGGAAGATGGCGGAAATCATTGTTACCATGCGAGGAGGTCTGCTACAAGGAGGCGGCTTGAGTCTATCATTGATGCCAAAATACTGCGTGAGCTCCTTCCAGTGCTCCTCCCGTTTCTCTTCAGGCTCCCTGGACAAAGACACAAGATGACAAGTCTTTCGGTTTATTATTATTATTATTCACTCCAGGACTAGGCATGTACACTTTGTGAGATTCAATTATTTCTGCACACATCCCTTTTTGCTATAATTGGTGGATTATGGAGCCAGTCAGTATTTGGGAATATATGGGTGTTCAGTGAAATAGGCAGGTTTTAAATATGAAGAATTTTGTACTAAGATGAGACATTTTATATTTGTTTCCCCTCCCTTTGCCTCAAGGCTGGAATGATCTGAACAGAGTTTAAAAACTAAGCATCACACAGCTGCCGATTTCGTAAAGGGTTAGAAAAAAACTGAACTTCATACACTAAACAACTATGGATCACACACTACCAGACTTTTCAAGTGGTTCCAAACACAACAAACTCACGCAGAAACATGCGCCTTGTTGCTTGGAGATGTATAACATCATGAAAACAATATGTGCTCTAAAATTGGCTCAAAAACCCAAACATGTTTTATAATCTCCAATTGGATAGAATCAAAGTCTAAAGATAAAAAAACTGGAGTCTGTGCCCATCATACGCTACGTGATTTCCAGCTAATTCTGTCAATTGCACATTAAAGATCACATTGCATTTACTTTAGATATGCGAAAATGCAATATTTCTTACATCAGTCAATGAACAAATATATTATTTCAGAAGTATATTTGAATTTAAAATCATCATATACAATTCAGGGAAGAGTTTAATGCCATGCTATTAATATGAAGTATTCAGTACATATTCACATGTGTTAAGAACTTGTATTTAGGCTTGTTGTTTACACAACATCTCTCATAGTCTTTCTCATGACCTGCTGACTAATGTAGTGATGTTTTGATGGAATGGTCTATTATGGAAATCATCATTAACTGTCTTAGAGCAAACCATAAGGGGAAGTTGTGGCCTAATGGTTAGAGAGTCGGACTCGTAACCCAAAGGTTGCGGGTTCGAGTCTCGTACCGGCAGGGATTGTAGGTGGGGGGAGTGAATGTACAGCACTCTCTCCCACCCTCAATACCACGACTGAGGTGCCCTTGAGCAAAGCACCGAACCCCCAACTGCTCCCCGGGCGCCGCAGCAAAAAATGGCTGCCCACTGCTCCGGGTGTGTGTTCACAGTGTGTGTGTGTGTTCACTGCTGTGTGTGTGCACTTTGGATGGGATAAATGCAGAGCACTAATTCCGAGAATGGGTCACCATACTTGGCCACACGTCACTTTCACTTTTTTTTTTTATAATTGTCTATCATACCTTTTCTGCTCAGTGTCACAATTCTGTGTCCCACCTGTTTGAGGTGTAAAAACCAAAATATGTTAATATATTGCACATAAAAAAGGCATGTGCAAGCATTACGCATATGAGAAAGATTTTTAAATTGTGTTATTCATCTCCACTTGTGGATCATATTAGTTCTACTGTAGTAAATCCTACTAGACACCCATGTTGTGATTGATTGCATGCGAAATTCCTTTCAAACACAAATCAGCACAGCTGTATGAAGAATTGTTATGTTTGCACTGAAAGGAATAAATAGGATACGGTTAACAACAGTAGAAATAACATAGATGAAAAGCACTAGTAGGTAATGAGAAGAAAACTTGTTATAATGACCTTTCTTGTGGCGCCTTTTCCTTTTCCGCTTTGTTTGTGGTTCCTTCGATCTCTGGAGCTCTTTGAACTTCTGCAACAATAACAAAAACAATGCTTTTAAACAATGATACTTGCATAATGACATTAAAATACATTCTGAATGAACCAAATGCAACTTGCTTTGTTTATACTGTAGTGATTTTAACTGTCTACCGCCTAATTAGATAAAAAATAATAATAATAATTTGATCACTGCATGATCTGTACTCTCTGACAATACTGCATACGTGCATAACTACAGTAGATCCACGTACTTGCCACTTATCCAAGGAAACTCCAGGAAGACAATCATCCCCAAATGCATCATTGTGCAAACCAGTTTTTGTGTTATTACATTCAACCTGTACACAAGCTGAATGTGACTCTGTGTCTGACTGACGTGATAGCTGCTCGCCTTGTGTGTTTTCTGCTGTTTCTCCTTCATCAGTATCATCATCCTCAGAGCTCAGGTCAGCCTCACTGAGACCTGGCGGCAGATGTCCACTATATTAAATCTGGCAAATCGTCAAAAACGAGGCTCTTGCAGACGTCCGCATTATTATCTGCCACAAAACGTTTAAAGCAAATATATTATTAAATGCGACGGGTGATTTAACAATATCATAATATATCAGATGATTACACCAACAACTGCATGACGCTTATCGTTGCCTTCCGTATTTCCGCATTTTGAACATAGAGCTTCATTATTGGATCGGCGGAGGAGTAACAGCTGTAACAAAAACGCTGATTGGTCACTTTGATCTCATTATGAATTGCGATCCTCCCCTTTACAAAATAGTGGAGGCTGCCGTTCTGTGTTATGAATAATAATTCCCGGCTAATATTTCTGTTAAATCGTCAATTTGTCCAGCTCTGAATAACAAGAATAAGAATAAGAATAAGTATAAGAATGCAAAAACTGAATTATTATTATTATTATTATTATATTTTAAACCTGATCTAAATAGACAAATAGTGGGTGGATAAGTGTGCTTTTTAACCATGGTCTTTTGCCAAATTATAATTTAGAAATCAATTAAATATGAAGACTATACATTATATCAAGTATGTGAAACATTTGTTCCTCTAAAACTTTGGAAGGTTTGTTGTTTCTGGTGATAAATTGGTAACAACTTAACCAAAACAACTGTATGCCACACTCTTTTTTTCATTTGTGAAAAATAAATAAATATGGCATCTACTGGCCTCAGTAAGGTAATTTAACCAAAAATAACAACAAATAAAAATATTTTTTATGCAGTAGCAGCACACTTTAATGTAGGAATGAGTAAACTTATTCAAACATAGTTGTATGCCAGTTCAGTTATGAAATATATACATATAGATATATATATATATTACAAATGGCAAAGTAAAACACAATTGCTCATGTTTTCCAGAGTGATAAGAATGCTCTTATATGAGCAATGTCTCCCAATTTATTCAGACAGCTGAGGGCATCACCACATTATCATTCAAATGATTAGCATGCTAATCTTGTTTAGCCTGTGGCATTGGCAGACGAAAAACACTGATGCTTAAATTGCTTATTTATATCAAATAACATCAGTTTTCTGTTATGTTGCTAAATAGTGGGCTTTGTGCCTAATTGCAAAACCACCTATTTACTTAAATGATTTATTTAGTGTGCACAGATTCTGAGGCAACAAGCTCATTTGTATTGTCATAATGTCAGAAATTTTCATCAATATAATTTCTGCTTGTTATGCCTCCAGCGGGGGTGCCGCTAGTTTTAAATGTACCCAGCAATTTATCTCTCTCGCTCTTTCTCATTTGCTCTCCCTCTCTCTCTCTCATTTGTCCCTTCCACACTCTCTCTATCTTTCTCTCTACATGTGTGCTCTGTAACCTGTATAGCTATCTTCCTGTGCCGATTCATTTTGAGGAACTGCTGAGGCATGAAACTCATACATCAACTATTTCCTGACAATGCTCAGACTTATTGTCCCCTAAAATGTCATTACAGCCATTATTTATGGAGTTAATTCATTTATTAAACCATATTTACGCAGACAGAATGTCACATTGTGTCCATCGTCCAGAACGACGCCTTTAATGATGATTCTAACACATTTTCTCTTTTAAATTCTACCAAAAAAGCGAAAGCACAAAGTGGTTTTGTTTTTCATGTCAAGGCTTAGCTACTGTTAGATGGAGGTAATGTAGAAAAACACAAATCTTACAATACCTGAACATAGCCAGACATTTAAAATAGCAATATAGCCTATATGTGATAAAGAAATTAGTGTTTGAAGGATTACAAGATAGTATGGAGTGCTGTATTGAACTACAGTACAATACACAATGTATTTGGAAATAATTTAGTGTTATACGTGACAGGTGCTCCTTATGTTTCTGTTAAGAATGCACATGCAGTGTCTTTTAAACATACGTATATACACAGCTCTCTGGAATGCTTGATTCTAATCGGTAGCATTGTCAGATATTTCCTAATATTTGTTAATCACGGTAAGGCTACTCCCTGAGAATCGGCTCAAAAGAACGATTCATTCAAGAATTGGACATCTGGTAGCCTGTATAAGTCCAATTATCCGAGTAAGATTCTAAAATAATTTAAACTCAAATGAATATTCATATATATATCAGACATAATTATACATAATCGCCCTTTTAAGAGAAATAGTGTTTTATAAATAATAAGGTTTCAGCTGAAAAACATTGGTAGGCCTAATGCTCATCCAATGCTCATAGTTTTGATTAAAATACATCACATCAGGTCGGGCAGCTGCATACGTTGTAACTGCAAAAGTTAAAATATTTCAATGCAACCGAAGTGCAAAACGGACCTGATAATTACATACAAACTCCTTGCACCTCTCACACTACTCTCCGTTGTAAGTTAAAGTCTGCATGAAATCAAAATTTACACTATTTACTTTGTTAGCGCACATTGCAAGTCTTGACGTGAACAGTTAATCCCTGCAAGTTAATCCACAAAAAAAAAAAAGTTTGTTTTGGTAATCTTTAATTAAAATCTGAAAATGTGCTTCTGCTCTGGATTGTTCTCTGATGACATCAGAGTATCCTTAACCACTTTCTGTCCAACCGTTAGCTTGCTGCAAGCAAGAGATGGTGAGTATAGGAGCGCTAAAATAAAACCCGACCATCTATTCAATATTCCGTTTCAGCAGGAAATACGTCACAATTCTGAAGTAAATTCATATACCTCATTGGCAATATCAACCGGCTAACATTAGCTCTTACTAATCACACCATTAACTGTTTGTGGAAAATAACCTTGTATCTCTACTATAAATCAGGTAACTAGGCCTAGTGGATCTTTACGGTCGTTCTATAGCCCAAATCTTGGAGAATGCGGAGTGGTTATACATTGTTTAAATTTTGCACTAAATATGACAGTGCTCCTAATGTGTAATTGTGGCATACATCCACCAGTTGTGTGTCATACATTTTAATGGTACATATCCGCACTGGATAATTCCATCATGCCATTCTCATTTATTTTATTTTCTAGTTTCACCTGTCACCTCGAACTACTTATTATGGCAGTAATAATGAGCTGTATTTGAACCATTAAGTTGTAATGATTCGCTTGCGTGACATTTTAATTCATATAAGGAGTTTGAAGAGGGTGGCAGTGTTACTGGGATTAGATGGTTAGTGCTAAAACAAACTAATTTGATTGGCAGTATAATACTTAAAGGCTCTACGGGAGGTTTAAGTATGGTTGGTTGGCGAAAGGAAAAAGTCATATTTGTAAACATTATATTTCATTAATTCACAGCCTTGCAGGTAGCTATATAGTAAAAACAGAAAGGAGAAAAAAAAACTATCCAAAGGTGACCCAAAATGGAATTACACAGAGAATTGTTACACACATACAGTTTTGTCTCATCCTATGGTAGTATAACAAGATGAGTAACTTTCTGTAGGCCTAGAACTTTACTTCCTTCTTTAGAGGCAGGTTCAGCGCGGCTGCACTCAATGTGATTTTTGACTCTGAGGAAGAAGGTTCGAATCAAGGAATCATGGTGATTAATATTCATGTTTTGCTAACTCTTGGGAGTGTGCACGCTTTGGTGTTTATACTAAAGATAAAGAAACAATTGGAGTATTCATCAGAGAGTTGAGCAAACAATGCTTAAAAGATGACTGAGAGATGGGGTGAGAGACATAGACAGAGAAAGAAAGAGAGAGAGAGGTAAATTTGAAACACTCCACTGAACAGAAACAAGGTTTATGGGCTAAGCCAGCATAAACACATTAAGCAGATGATATTCATCAGTGTTCCAGTGTCAAATCCACACTACCCAAAGGACATTTCTGAAAATCAATGTACATGTCAAAAATCGAATTGTAACACCTCAAAGTGTTACACATTGTGAAAATATGCTTGCTTAAATATGCTTATACCCAACAGGGAAGGTTCTCAGAACTTTGGCTAATGTTCTTGCAAGGTTCTCTCAATGTTATGAATAAATATTCTTTAAGTAACATTAATAGATTGTTCATTCAAAATCTGGCTTTTAATAACATTCTCAAAACGTTAGCACCAAAACATTACACAAAAAAACTTTTTCTAACATTCACATAACCAAGAAAAAACTTTTTTTTTTTAACATTAAAAACTGGATGTTTTGAATGTTCTAAGAACACAATGTTTTTGTAGCCTAACTTAATTAGGAACATTAGCAAAACATTTTTAGAAAAAGCAAATAAACATTTATCTATTTTTATTTTATATAATTCTTCAATATGTGCACAGATTTTTGTAATAACTGCTCATGCAAAAATGTCAAACATCTGTTATCTGTTATCCACAGTTAAAATATAGCGGTATCTATTAAAAAAGTACAGTAAAGTGAAATCAGTGCAGTACATTTTATGAATGCGATGCATTTCAAATGCATGCTGTGCCAAAAAGTCATGGTTTTCAGACTGGCTGAGTTTGCCGCCATTCATCTGTAATTAGTTTAAGCACAAAGTTGCACAACCAGACCATTCCCAGATAAAATCGTACATTTAAATGGAATAATTTATTCCCTTTTTCATTGCAGGACTTCCAACACATTTATCTGTTGTCTGTTTCTTTATTTTAATCACACTTCCTTGCCTTTTGGACAGCTTCACTGGCTTATAGATTAGTGTGAAATGTACCCCAGTTAGAATCTCTTACACGCTCCAATCAGATGAGCGCAGATTTAATCAGAGTGAATCGTCCATCCCACCCGTGAGGGGCTGCCCAGATGAAACACACCTTATATTCATAACTTCACTTACATGCCTGATTATGAAGCGGGAGATAGCAGGTAACTCTCATTCTCTGCTTTTTTTTTCCCAGCACAATTTTGCCTCCAAACTTGAATAGTTAATCATAGCCCCTTTCATCATCAGTCGAGAATCAAAATCTGAACAGAAGAGGATATATATCATTAAAAGATGAAAAAGAATCACAAATTGAATTGGCCTTCTGGTCCAGATATATTGTGTCAAATTTCAC